CTATCTATCTATCTATCTATCTATCTATCTATCTATCTATCTATCTATCTATCTATCTATCTATCTATCTATCTATCTATCTATCTATCTATCTCAAACTCGTAATTTTCTCCTTTCAAAGCTGATGCCGACCCTGACAAAACCAAGAGTGCCAGTGAAGAGTACTACTAGTAAGTCACCCAACTCATGTACGTCATTAACCGGACTTGGTGCCAGTCTACTTGATGGTCTGTCGTGTTGCTGTCTTACACTTGACGGTTTACTTCTCTACTGATACCCTAACCCTAACCGTAATTTTTTACTTATCTACTGCCACCCTAACCCCAACCCTAACCCAACCCTAACCCCAACCCAAACCCTAATCCTAACCTTAACCCTAACCCTAACACTAACCCCAATCCCAACCCCAGACAGCGCTCAGTTAGGTAGGCCGTCCAGATGATTGACACCCAAAACTTTGTTAGTCTGTATTTTGTTTTCCACCCTTTTTTACGTCTATTTATTTACCATAATGCTTCGGAATTGCTGCTGAAGGTTGAAGGGGGACCAATCAGAGGCATGATCGGAAATGCGAGTGCGTGGTTGGGTGTATGTTTGTGTAGGGGACTACAAGTAGAAAGAGGGGACATGGAAAGGAGAGAGAGAGAGAGAGAGAGAGAGAGAGAGAGAGAGAGAGAGAGAGAGAGAGAGAGAGAGAGAGAGAGAGAGAAAAGAAGGTAGGGAATATTAGTTGTTTTGTTAGTCATTCTAGCAATGTTCGTGTTTTTATTGCATTCGTGGTGTTTGGGAGGGGGGGGGGGCAACAATGTTCAAAAGGAAAGAAAACGATGATAACAAAGTGGGGGTTATTCGAAGGGGGAGGGCATTTTTTTTTCCTTTTCCATTCTTGTGTCATATGTGTCAGCCAAAAATTCTGAAATTGTCCTGTCACAGCAACTACGTGTTGGAAGCCACCGACGGTATTTTTGATGTGGGGAAGCTCAAATGGGACCTAACTCTGTGCAACCTGCTGGCCTGGATCATCATCTGTGTGGCCCTCATCAAAAGTGTTCAAAGCATGGGCAAGGTAAGAGAATAGATAGATAGATAGATAGATAGATAGATAGATAGATAGATAGATAGATAGATAGATAGATAGATAGATAG